CTGGAGTAACGTGATCAGCCGTTCAGTGCAGGCGCCTAGTGACCTTTGCTTTGCGAGCAGTAGCCTTGCCTTGAAGTCTCGTGCTGGTTTTGGAGAAGTCAGAGTTGCCTGAGCAAAACCTTGACCCATTCTAGGCGCTTCAGAGACACAGTTATGTAACAAGTGTTCACAGTGCACAGTGAGTAACACGCTATAACGGTGTCCTGACCATGCTGACACACAACACTGTGGATTTGGTATTTTGATAACTCTGATTTGGTTCATTCGCTCAAAATTGCAGGTCCCGTGGATCCTAGTCCCTAGTGCAAGGCAGGAAACCTGCCCGCAGTTGGGAGGCTCATGGGTTATAGCTCGAATGTCTCCTTTCAAACAGCAGGTCTGCAGCTCGGGGCACAAGGAGAAGCCAAAACCCCTGAAGCACAGCCCCGTTCTCCCCTCCTGCACCCTCTGCAGGTCTGCGCTTTCTGTTATCAGCCCCGCCAATCTCTGCGTTTCGCTGTTGACATGGAGGGCTGTCCTCATGACCCTTCCTAGAGCAGCTGTTTAACTACAGCTTGGCAGGGCTTTCAGAGGATTCCTGAGAAACGCAGGTCATGCAATGTTCTGTCATTAGTCATGCTTTGTGACCACTTGCAGTATTGTTTACAGTTTCTTCAGTATCCTGGAGCAGAAAGCAATAAAAAGCCGACCTATCTGCTGTAGGACAATGACTCTTTATGATTAGATTAGTAAGTGGGGGAAGGAGAAGCCCCGAGTGTCTTGGGGTGGCTGTGCAGGGCTCTGCCCAAGGGCTTGCGAGCCAAGTTGTAAAGCATCCACGTGATGAACTTTCATGTATTTTACGAGCTCCCCTTGTTTAAACAACAACAAAAAAACAATAGCCCAGTGAATACTGGGAGAGCAATCTTTTTTTTTTTTTCCTTGAATATTTTGTTCATCAGTGGCTGTGCCTAAATAATCCCCAAAGGAAGAAAACTAATTCTCCAGGTACCTGTGTCCTGCTTTTGTGCTTCCTCCTTGGTTCTAACATCCATGGACAGCTATCCCCAGGGTTGGTTTCTTGGGCCTGGTTTTCCTGTATCTTCTCCAAACATGCATAGAGAGGCCATTTGAGACCAAACCAAATCTGATAGTGAGAATGATCTTTCTAATCTACTGCTGCTGGAACGATCCACCTCTTCTCTTCTTTTTGCCTTCGCTATGTTTTGTTCTAGCCTGATCTTGCTCTCATGTTCTGTGAAGGTTGTCCAAGGTAGGTTGTGTTGAACCGAATGCTACATGGGCTTGAGGTGTGCCAGAGAGTGGCCCACGTTTTCTTGGACTCCAGGAAACCAGAAGGCAACATCTGTCTCCTATGGAGGTAGAGTTGACTTCAGAGCTTCTGTTTCTTTGTGCCTGTCCAGAAAGTGCCTGCAAAGCCTGCTGTCATCTTTGACTGCATTGAGACAGGTTTTTGCTGTGAATAAAGTTTCTACACTTGATGCTTTCCTGTATTTATTAAGAAATTCTGCTCTAGTCTTGTTATTGATGCTTACAAGTATCAACTAAAATAGTGTGCCTGTGTATGTGAGTTTCTGGAAAGGAACACACCTCACTTCAGCGGGTGAACGGAAGAACGAGGCAGGGTGTAACTATATACATGATACCGATTCTGGCTGAACACCCAGTCTTTTCATAATCTTCTACCTGTATCAGCAGTTAGCAGCTCAAATCAGGAGTGTATGGTCTGGCTCAAGAGTTTTGCTGTAACTTTCTAGGAAACCAAGTTGGGGGCTTGAGATCGGTTGCCACCTTTTAACTACAACCCTACTGCCGCAGGTCTGACTGTAGCTTATATGGAGCCTACGGGTGCTGCCGCCTCCTCCAAATTCCTGCT